GTCCTGAATTATCTTTATTTATCTTGGTGAAGGCTCCCAGTTTAGTCCTTTGTGTGAACAACACTTTAGTTCCTCTCCTTTTAAATGAACTCTCTTCTTATTGGCTGCCCTTCTCCATCCAAAAGCACAAAAGTGAGAGAGGTGTGCACCTGAGATGGCCATAATATGGACACCTGCTGTTACTGACTATCTGAAATTTGAGCTTTTGACTCATAGATAGCGGCACTCATGGCCCTTCAAAGTCACCTCACTATTTGAAGCTTAGGACAAAAAAAAGCAAAAGCATAAAACATCCCATTTAGATATCCTCAAAGTAGCCAAAACACAGAAGCGTGGGAGCATAAATAAAACCCTTCTCATTTTGATTTGCAGTTCAACTCTGCATTATAATATGTGTTGATAAACTGTATTTTTTTCAAGCTGGTTGAAAGAAGAGCTGATGGTAACACTGCTTGAGCCACTGGACCTCTTTTCTTTGCAGTATGTCAGCTAAACTCCAAAATAATGAAAGTTAGACTGCTACCAATGATTAATAACCTCTATTCTCTCTGCTGTTTCCCCTCTTTGTGATTATAAATTTGCAGACAAAGTTGTAGTGGGAAGTTACATGGGGATGCTGCGAATCTTCTCCCCGCATGCGAGTAAGACTAGTGAAGGAGGTCAAGCTGATGCCCAGCTGCTTGAAGTTCAGCTTCAAAATGCCATCATCCAAGTCGAACTGGGCAAGTTTGTTTCGTAAGTATGCAAATCTAACCCACAAACAGTGGACAAGAATACCAAAAACATATGACAATGTACCGTAGTCATTGCTGGTTCTTTCTCTAAATTAAGCTCTTTTCCCCTTTTTGAGTCAAAGTTTTGTCAACATTTCTTTTCAGTTTGTCTGAATGAAACTAAAATGGATTTGGTCTTTAGTGTCACTCCTGATAAGTCAAGTCAAATCACCACAGCCTTGTGTTCTAACACTAGGACCATTGATTATGTTGCTAATCTCCCTGCACCTTATCTCCTGCCTTCTTGTCTGCCTTCCACCATGTCAGGCCTTGACCATTGTGGTGGTGTTGTGTAGGACAAATTGATATAAGCACTCCCACTCACAGTCTCACAAAAGCGCTGTCTCACAAATTACAGATTTGCTCTTTTAAACGGACAGAGGCAGGCAGAAAGAGTTTGTGGACAGTAGATGTTAATGCAAACATCAAATCTTTTTAAACCATCTTGCTTCTGATTGGTTGCCTCTCACAAAAAGGTTGAAACAAGGGTTTGGTGGGGCTTGCTCTAAACACATGCTCTAAAAGCTTTAACTTGAAACATGTATGTCCTCAATCCAGCTTCGCAGAGAGCATACATTCACAGAGCATTGCTTGATGGTACAAAATAGAAATGACATTTAGTGTTTCATGTCCACTTTAAATACATCCACTCTCACTGACATCATACCGAGCTGACATGCTTGATTTGAAGCATTTAAATCAATCGGAAATCTGAGCTTTTAGATCATTCTTGCAAATATGTGTGTTTGATGTGAGCCATTCCAGCAATCACTGCAGATTTAGGCAAAGCGAGACGGGTCTTTTTGAAAAGTAACCAGTCTTATATTTGCATTGTCTTTGGTGGCTGAACAGGTCAGAGGTCACAGTTAGAGAGGATACTGTGCAGTTGATAGAGCTTTAGGAACTGAAACAGGATGCA